CCAGGTTTATCTCAGATTGAATCCAGGTTTATCTTAGATTGAATCCAGGTTTATCTCAGATTAAATCCAGGTTTATCTCAGATTGAATCCAGGTTTATCTCAGATTGAATCCAGGTTTATTTCAGATTAAATCCAGGTTTATCTCAGATTAAATCCAGGTTGATCTCAGATTAAATCCAGGTTAATCTCAGAGGGATGAGGGACTCTGTCTGTAAACATGTTGCAGTTTTTTCTTTCACTTGTTGCAGTAAATTAAATGTGGGTGAAGTTCTCCTCCAGGATCGGACCCCCGGACCCCTCAGAGCTGCGGCTCAGGTTCAGACTCTGCACCSGTGCTGTGGGTCTGCCGGTGGTTCGGGTCACACCGGGCCTCGTCGTGCATCGACAGACGTTTTGGGAACTGGGGCAAAGCCTCGCGGGAAAAATGTCAGGAATGTTGGAGACAAAGGAGACGCTGTGATGGTGAGCAGAGGTGAACCGTCCAGTTTCTGTCAGCTCATCCTCTCACTGCTCTGCAGCACAAGCTACAACTGAGAACTGGTTCTGGATCTCAGAGGTCCAGGATCCTGATCAGGGGACCACCTCTACCTGGAAGCCATTTCCAAACAATTTGGAGTTCACCCTGAAGGTCAGACTGTGCAACCCTGAGAGAAATGAGCAGGTCAGGCTCTGAGTAAATATGATTGTTTTCTTCTCTMTGACGTCTGTGGAGTCCAGATCCCAGAACTGGTTCTGGTTCTGCACACACTAAAGAACAATGTGGGTTCAGAGACCCCCCTGAGAACAAAGCTCCTGGTCCGCTGACTGATCCGGCGCTGACATAACGGCTCATTAAACGTTGAGGAATCTCCTCGACCCGACAGGAATTCTGCAGCTCAGGAGCCGAACAATAGGACTCTCTGAGAGGAACGTCTGGGTGGGACCTGGACCGGCCCGGCCCGGCTCGGCTCGGCCTCTGACGTCCAACCAACGCCTGGCTCTCCCGCCACACACCCTGTTTTTACAACCAGCACTCCCAGGTGAGCCGGAGCCCCACCTGAGGGGGCCCGGTTCTGTTCAGTCACCAGAATAAAGGTTTCAGAACTGTTTTCACCTGTTAGACTCTAAAAGGACCAGAACCAGGCCCCTGATCCGGGCCTCAGGTCCTGCAGGTCTCTGGATCTGCTCGTTGTCTTTTAATGAGACAGATGGACACAGGTCCAGGACCACCTGGATCCAGGTCTTCAGGTTTCCTGATCAGATCTGGTCCTGAGGAGGGAAGTAGGGGCGCAGCAGCGAYACAGCTGTGAACACGGTGGAGGTTTGTAACGAGTCTCACAGGTGACCTGACATGAAGCCAACAGGAAGTGTTGCTCTGAGCCGAGTGATGCTAGCTCCTTCGGCTGCAGCTTTCAGCTGAAGGTTTCCTGAAAACAAGCTGAAATAAACACGACTCAGCAGATTAAATCAGCTGCTGGATTCATCTGATTTAAGCAGAAATAATCTCAGATGATTTATTTTAGCTCCTAGCTTTGGTCAAGGCTAAATTTAGTCTTTAGCCTCTGTTTTAATTGTAGCTACATGTAGCTTTTAGCTGTTTCTTTTCTAATCGTCTGATTCACAGTGTTTTATTTTATTTAAAGTTTTTACAGAAGCTTTCAAACTGTTTCGTTAACATCAGGAGCTGATTTCCCTCCAAACAAGCAGGTTGTTTACACCCAGAAAGGGGCGGAGCCTGTGCACAGGCTGTTTATTTTAGAAACATTTTAATTCTGTGGAAAATCTTTATAAACTTTTATTTTCTGATGATTTCTCAGATTAAATTTAAAGTTTAAACTCTTTGATTTAAAACGTGAAAACATTCGACACAAGACGAAGAAGTTAAATAAAAGCAACATTTATTAGTYGGGCCCGAACCGGGCCCTGCAGGGACAGAACCAACATTTCACAGAAATGAGCCATCGGACCAATGTGGACCAGAACCATAAATAAATAACAGAAACTTTCAGTGAAACATAAATAAAATCTGAACCGGTTCAGTTCCTCCGGTTCTGAACGGATCACAGAAAACGTCTTCAGGTGAACCTATAATCTGGGATTATTAATCCAGGGACGTCAGGTTCAAACGTCCAGCTGTGGTTTTTTTAGTCCAGGATGAAGGATTCAAGTCCCGGTTCTGGTATCAGGTCCGTGGTTCCTGATCAGAACCGCAGCTTCAGCTTTTAAAACCGGAACAAACCAGTTTTCTGTGGATCTGAAGCTCCTCGAGGATCCGGGTCAGAGATTCTGGATCACTTTTTTCGTCTCCTGTTGGACATGAAACCCAGGATCTGTTTCAGGTTCTGAGGTCTTGGGGGGACACGGTCCCTCCTCGTCCTTGTGAGACCAAACGGGTCCAGGTGCTCTCGCCTCTCCACGCTCTGGCCCGGTGCCGCCGTCTCACCTTCGCCCACTTCTCCAGCAGGGTTCGGGTTCTGGCTGCGACCCGAAGCGCTGGGGGCGGAGCCAGATTGTTGTTTACCTCCTCCGTCCTGTAAACAAACAAACAAGAGACGGTTTGTTAAATAAAGATTTATCTGCTGCAGGTAAGATATTTACATCTGMGGCTCGAGAGCTGCAGAACCCCGTCCTCTTTAGAGGGACTGGAGACAGAACCTGAACCAAGACCTGCAGAACCCCTGAGACTGAGGACAACAGCTCTGTCCCGCGGACTGATAACACCTGTGATGACGTCAGACTCACCTGTTTGTCTCGTGTCTCTGCGCGGAGTCCGCCGCGGTCTCCAACCTGCAGGACAGATCACATAATTGGTCAGAACCACCCCGGACCAGAACAGATCCAGATCCAGACCCTGACCCTTCAGACCCAGCAGTCCGGGATCAGTTTCTCCTCACCTGAAGCAGAAGTTCGCGCAGGTTCGGTCCGGTTCTCAGACGCGGCCAGCCGGTTTCAGAGTCGGTGAGCGCGCGCCTGGCCCGGGGCGCGTTCCCCAGCCCGTAGGAGACCACGCGCTCAGGTGTGTTGACCCAGATGATGTCCAGGTGGCAGAAGTAGACGCACGCCTTGTCCAGGAAAGAGGCGCAGGAGCAGCGCTTGTTGCGCACGTGGCGCAGCGGGCTGACGTCTGCGGCGGGAGCGGACAGAGCTGAAARAAAAGTTTTTATTTTATTTATAAAAAAATGAAACTTCGTTCAGTTCCTCAGATCTGCTGCGTCAAGGTGAGTGTGTTACCTGTRCAGAAGATCCAGGAGCACGTGACCGACAGGATCCAGACCTTTCCGTCCATCCTGCAGCTGAAAGTGTTCAGAGGAGCTGTGAGCTGCTGAAGGACCAGAGCTTCTCTGAGGATCCACATCTGAGGCTCCGGTGCTTTATAGCGGCCCCGCCCCCCTCCCCCATGTTTGTTTTGGTCCCGGAGCCGCTCCGTCCTGAACCACCTGATCCAGTCTGAGGCTGCAGCTGGCGGCCAGCAGGCGGCGCTGCTGCGTCACCAACACTGGGTGAAAGRCTCGGCCTTCAGTCTGCTGGAGTTAGATTATTTTAGAGCTAATATGTTCTGTTTCTGTCTTTTATATTCATCTTCATTTATTTATTTATTTATTTTTGATTTGTTTCATTAATTTGGCTGAATTGTGAAGCACTTTGGGGAACTCTTCTTGTTTTTATGTGCTATTTAAATAAATTGACATTGACCGGCAGAACCTCAG